GTTTTGCCGGTAACCCCCCGGCGGGCTTTAACCGCCGCGGCAAAAAACTTTCGCCGAAAAAAGCGTAAAGCGCGCAACGAACGCCGCCGCAACGCTTTCGATTCCAATAAACCTGCCCCCGAAATAAATATTACCTTTTTTTCGCTTTATATGGGTATTCGCAACGCGCTCCCGTTGCGGGAAATTATCGATTTTTAATAAAGTAATAATTAAAACCCTATTTATTTGCCCTTTTTTAAAAATAATTATACGGAGCGTACGGTATTTTATGGCCGTTATTTTGGTTGTTAAGCATATTAAAACTATACCGTTAACCTTTGTATACCGATATACTTTAATAATTGTACGGGGTTTTCCAAATATATTTATTGCAAAAACGTGGTTGGCAACAAAGCTTGCGTTAAACTTTCCAAATAATTTTGGAAAATGGCCCAAAACCTTTACAAAATCCTAAATACCGTTTACAAACGGTTGCTTAAAACGATACCAAAGCTTTTTAAAAAGCTTATTAAAGCTTAATTTCGCGCTTGCAAAGCTATCCAAAAAGCCAAATCCTTTTATACCATATCGGCCGAATAATTTGCGCGTTACGAACGTTAAACCGTTATTTAAAAGCGCATTTAACGCAAAATTGTTAGCGCTGCGATATTAAAAGCTACCCAAAACATTTCCCAATAACTTTACGCCATTGCCGTTTAAACGAAAAAGCAAGTTTAAACTTTAATTAGTATCGGTAATTTTTTTAACGAAATAAAAGCGTTTTTTAAACGTTTTAAAAAAGGTATAATTATTTTTTTGGTAATATTACCGCTAGTTTTGCTATAATTGCGGCGCATTCGGATACCCAAGCTTATAACCGCGCGGCTTCCCGTAAGGGTGCGGCGTCCGTATTAACGCCGGGAAATGCCGCTTTCGGCGCCAATAACTTTAGCGGTAACAATTATAGCGCTAGCAAAAAGGACGTGGTTTCCGGAAATTTTGGTTCTTTTAAATACGGCATTTAATCGATTTTTTTTACATATTTTCCTAATTAATTACTAGTATTCCTTTTTTAAAAAGTGGTTAATTTTAAATCTTTTTCGTTAATTTGTTACAATTAAAATTACAATTTTTTTTTGTTATGCTGCTTTTATAGCATTGCGAAATCCCGGTATCCATATTTACCAATTAAGTTTTAATGCTCCAATAAATAATTTTAAAATGCTTTTTTTTCGCCCCCTTAATGGGTTTAAATACCGTTAATATGCATTTGCCGTTACCCGAACGCTTAAGCCCGTTCGCCATGCTATTTGGAAATTTTTTTACTTTTTTTTCGGGCAAACAATGGTATTTTTTACTATAACGTACGTTTAAAATGCGGTAATTGCTTTAGCGTATCGCGCTAAGCATGCCTTTTACGGGCTTTCCAAAGTATGCTATACTTTGCATATTTTTCGGGATTTAAATATATCGCACCATTAATTTGGGGCGTTTTCCGTACTATACCGTTTTTATTTAACTTTTTATTTATAAAGCACGATATTTTACGGCTATTACAAGCCGTTTACGGGTTTTTTTACGTTTTTCCCCGGTAGCTAACCGGTTTAGCACGTTAAAACATTTTTTTAGGCCATTCCTTTGGCCTTTATTACTTTTTTTTTATAATACCCCCGTCCTTTTCGGGTATTTACCCGCTAAAGTCCGGTATTTTCCTTATCCTATAAATTCGCTTTTAATAAATTTGCTTTATACGTTTAAACAATCTTTTTCGTAATATCCTTTTTTAAAATTTACAAATTTTCCGATTCGTTGTAATTTATCCATTTAACCAAGTATTTTCGTTTCCGCAAAAGCCCTTTATATTTTAGCAAAGCTTTTATTTCAAAGCGATCCTTTTTTTTTTTCGATTTTTAATTTTTTATTTTTTGGTTTTTCGCCGGGCTTTTTTTTAAACGCCCGCAATAAATTTGCTGGGAATACGTCGTATATCCGGTAACTTACCAAAAGCTTTAACCGGAACGCTAAACCGGCTAACCCAACCATTTTTAAAATTTAAAAAAGTCCTAACCATTTATTCGATAACTTTTTCGATAGCCTTTTTATTTTAATATTTGCTGTACTTAGCAATACCCAATTGCTTACCCCAAAAAGCACCGGGGTCCTGCCCTTATTATAATACTTTTTGTACATATTATTTGCTTTTTTTAGCAATTTTTTAGCTTGCTTTTTAATTGCCTCCAAAACCCCCGCTTTAATTTTAACCGTTGCCAAAGGTTTTTTTTTAATTACCCGAAAGTTATAAAGCTTTTATAAGTAAAACTTTATTAATAAAAACGCCGGGGTTTTTTTGCAACCCCGAATGCACGTTCGTATTGTGCATTTACGTTGCTAAGTGCAATAATAACGCCCAATCGTTTTGCCTTTCGCAACAAAAGCACCGAAAATAATGCTTTATTGTTTGGTTTGTCCGTTCCGTTTGCCCGTCGGTTTAAAAGTGGTATGCTATCGATAGCCTTTTTGCAACCCTTAAATGTCCGGCAAAGGTTATCCAAAACCCGTTTGTAAATAGCTTGTTCCGGTTCGATACAATCCCTTCGGGCGTTTTTAATAGCTTTTAAACGTATACAAACAAAAAGCTCCCCAATTTTTTATTGGTTAATTTCGTAAACGTCGGAATAAAAAAACTGTATTTAATAAACCGGTTAACCATTACTAATATTGCGTTGCGCTTTTTACCGGCTTTATTTACCAACGTTAAAAACTTTCCAATAAAATTTATCGATAATTTTTGTTTCGGGCGGTTTGGTACGGGCAAAAATGCTAATAACCCGTAAGGTGCTTATATTTTCGGTTTCGTTTATTGGTATATTTAATACGTCCGTACGTATTTGCGTACGTTTTTAACCATACCCGGCCATTTAAATTACCGTTTAAACTTTTTTAAGGTTTTGGCTATACCTTTGTAACCCCCCGTTGGGCTATCGTATTATTCCTAAAGTATTGCCCGTTTAAGCGATGCTAAATTTGGAATTTAAATTTTCTTTTTATATTTAAATAAGCCGTTGCTAATTTCCTAAACGTTGGGCTTGTTTTTCCAAGTACCGTTTTAAACGAAATCGTCCTTTATTTATGCTTCGAAAATACGTTTTAATATCGTTTTAGTATCCCTTTTAATGGTAATCGTCCTTACGTAAGCTGCTTTTCGGAATTTGGCTAATAAATCGTTTTGGAATTTTTCTTTTGCCATATCGGCTTTCCCGTTTATTGGTATATTTTGGGAACGTTTTAATAAATTATCCGCGGGGTTCTAATATTTTGGTTTCCATTTAATTGTAAAATCGTACTTTGCTAAATTTTTAAGCCATTTTGTTTAACGCTTTATTACCTTTTTTTTGTTAAAATATAAATATGGTTTAAATAATTGGTAATTATTTTAACAATTTTTTATAAATAGGCTAAATAATGCCGTTACTTTTTAAAAACTTTTACGATCGCCAGCAATTTTAAATTAAAAATCGCATAGCGTAGCTTTTTTTATCGTAGCTTTTTTAATATGTAAGTTACCGGGTGCTACCGGCCGTTTTACAATTGCAATAGCACCGCCCTTATCGCAAAAGCTAAAGCGTCGGTCCGCACGCACAACGGTTTCGAAAGGTTAAAATGTACTAATACCGGAACTTTCGTAAATAGCAATTTTAATTTGCAAAAAGCCTTTTTCGCAATATTTTTTAAATAAAATACGGTATTTTTGCTAAAAAAGTCCGTTAAAAGCATAGTAATTTTCGCGTAACTTTTTACAAATTTCCGATAATACCCCGTAAAGCCCAAAAATACTTAAATGTTTTTAACGCTTTCCGGTATCCTTTACTTTAAAATCGCAATAATTTTATCCGGCAAAATTTCGATCCCGAATTTGGTTATTTTAAATTTTAAAAAGTCGATACTATCCGTTTCGAATTCGCATTTAGCTAGGCTAACGTAAAATTTAAACCGTTCGAATCGTTTTAGTACCGTTTTTATTGCTTTGCGGTGCTTTTTTTATATTTTCGAAAAAATAAAAATATCGTCCAAATATACGATGCAATTGCTATTAATTAATTCCCCAAACGTTATATTAATAAAGCTTTAAAACGTTATTAAAGCGTTAGCTAAACCGAAAGGCATTATTAAGTATTCGTAATGTTTATATTTGCAACGGAAAGCAATTTTCCATTCGTTTCCTTATC